TCGTTGTCCACCTTTTGAGATTGGCCCTCGTGGTTTCTGGAGAATGGAATATATGATACGGACTCGATAATTCCCGCGCAACGCAATGGTGATCTCGGGAAGGATGACAGTGTGACCACCGGAAAGTGTGTACGTGAGCTTACGGTTGTAGACCTAGGGCATGTCATACATCCATTCACTGTAATTTGGTTCCATCCGGCACTCGTGAATTAGCTTTAGCAAGGAATGTTTCCGATCTCCAGTGAGAAATTCACCGAGAAGCTGACATCTATCTCATCTTCGGTCCCGTGAGAAATTACAGTATGGTCACAGAAAGCATAGCGTTTGAATTCCCGAATATGCTGCTCCAGTGACCAAATGCGATTTTCGCAAAGCCGGAACACTAGCAACTGTATTATTATATGTTGTTCTGCTACCACTTTCTGTCAAAACGTTGCTTCTGACCAAACAACTCCTGTCACCATGCCCTTGAACCAATTATCTCGCAAGAACTGGAGAAGGAGATATTGCTACTCAAACCAGCAAGCAACTCGGATGGAGCGCGAACGTTGCTCGAATACGCACGAAACACAGTCGAATTGTAGTACTATGCTGTGTAATGTACAGTGCACCAAGTACGTATTTTATCCGGAGGGGACAGCCATACATAGCCACCGAAATGATTGCCTATGCATCTATCGGGGCTATGGGTGTCAACGTGTACTGTGCTTTGTTTAAGCCGGGGCTGGTATATACGTAACTGGACGACGTAAAATGGCTCCCACCCCCCGTGATAGAGAAAAGCAATGCGCGGATGTCCAACTTGAAGCGCTCTGTGATGGATCGACAAAGAGGAGAAAGCCCGGGACCTTGGCCGCGGGCCATAATCTAAACTTGGCCACTCCGTGTTTCAGCCCTTTGGCGTCTCATTGTGGCGGCTCCATGATTCCATCCCACAGAGACCCTTTTGTGTTGTTTGACCAGCCAGTTCTAGATGGCAGTTGCTCCAAACCCTTCGCTTCTGTCATAATGTTAACAGAGATGCGACGGTTGCGTTCAAACACGCATCCTGCCCAGGTCGCCGAAGTCGCCTGATAGCCTCCAGTCTTAATGATCAGCATCATGCGGGGCCCTCGCCTGGAGATGGCAGGGTCGGAAACGCGTTCGTGAATTGATTCGGAGACACAAGCGAGAACCACAACCACATGGTAAACAACCACATTATAACAAGGCTTTGTGTCTATAGACAGGGGCCGGCTATTGATAAGCGTAAACGTCGATGCAACCTCGGCGACACAAGTTGGGATTGTCCAGATGTGATGAGGCAGCAACGATGTGCGTGCTCCAGTCCAAATCCCGAGTCTGACATCCTCTTGTTGCTGAGTTGGCGGTGCTGGGTCTCGTGAAGTCTGTATACCGAGGAACATCAATGTCTCGGGCACCATGAATGACCGCATCATGTTTCCGCTGCTGTAACGTCGTCGTCACGTCGGATCTTTCTTTTCTTCTTCCGCCGCCTTTTTTCCGGAGTCGCTCCTGGGGCATCACCCGCAACCGGTTGTTGATCGACCACAGCAGGGGTGTCGAGAGCTTGTTCATGAGCATGTGGCACCTTGGGATCCGTCAGAGGTTCAGTCAGAACCAAATCCCCTTTCTTCCCCATGGCCTCGCGACTCGCTTCCTCCAGTAGGATTCCAAAGGCAAGGAGAGCGGTTTCATCCATGCTCCTCTCGTCAATAGTTCGGGAGCCAATGACACAGCGCGGACCAAGGCGAAGGGCCATGACATCGTAAAAGTTGCTGGTGTATCCATGGATGGACTTTAGGAGATCGCTGTCAGGGAGGAGATGACGTCCGGCGTCCGGCAGATTCTCGTTGGCCCAGTAGATGTCGTTTTCTTCGTAGCGAGCAGGCGCGCCCTTGCGGCGAAAGAGAACTTCCTCGGGAGCATATCTGGGGTCGCGAGAAGAGTGCAATCCGGAGGACTTTTGTCGCTTAGTGGAGGAGTCGTTCCGCCGTGAAGCACCTGACCGAGATCGTACGTTTAAGGTAACATTGCCTGGAAAGTATGTTAGATGGAGAAGTTCACATACAATGAAAGAGGCGGGGCGTGGAACATACCAGCAACGGCATCGTAGACGTTCAGTTCACGTCCTCTGCTTTCTTTTCTTGACGGGCGTAGTTCCTCATCGGAATAGTCACTGGGGGCTGGTGACGAGGTCATGTTGGAAATGAAGAGTTGATGTCAGTTGAAGTGATTGTGACTTGCGCTGTGAGATCGACAACTGAGAAAACTGAAGTGTGGAAGGTATTTCGTAACTTTCCGTCGTTTCTTTCAGCCAGCGGGACGACAGCGCGTATCAGGAAAATTTCTTGTTCTGTTCAAGAAAACCATCCCCATTTCAAACCGAGGAAGGAGCAATGTACATCATTCGATTTGATCTTGCGTGAAATATTTTCATGCCTCATTTGGTGAGCTCAACGTTCCTTCCAATTCTCCATGTTGTGTAGTGGCAGGACGCAAAGACGGCAGGCACGTCAAAAAAAAGATTCGGGTCTGGACTGCCGTGATCGAAGCTCAGTGCTCGGCAGGCAACGACGGGAGCTGGAATCGTCCCTACTGGCCGCCAAAATACAGGTACCCCGCGTTCAACTGCAGGCAATGGCCCCGCTCGCTCCCGTCACTGCAGGGACAGTCTCCCGGGGCTTCCTTTCTTTGCAACGACACTTCAGGTTTCCAGCGTCACATCATCGAGTGCATCCACGAAAACAACTGAACTTCACTCCAGTTGTGCTCTTCATTCAACCTTTCGTGATACTCAATCCAATGTCCGCCCAAACAAACGCCAAAGATATTGTCGGCACCTGATTGCTACCAATCTTATGACAATTACTTTCTTTCAGTTCGGCGCCGGCAATTTTTTGACCACACATCGACGCAACCCGGCCAAGATGATGGAACGGCCGTTTACAGTCTCCCTCGCCCCTCTACCACTACCTACCACTCGCTGAGGTGATGATGGAATCCAGCAAACCGGATTGCAATCCGAGGGATGTCAAGGCATCCGACAGTCTGGACCGGCGTTCCATCCGACCTCCCCAAATCAATCAACCCAAGACCGCCCAATATGGCGTGCATAGATTGCCATTGTACGTCACGCGTCTACGCTTCAACCACGTCCCGTCCTGACACAACGTCTCGGCTGTCTTCATCAACCGGCTGAATGAGTACCTATCAGCTTTGTTTTTGAGCAGTTGACCGGTTATGGGGCGTCATCTTGCCCAAACTCCAAGTCGCCGATTGACCATCCAAATTTCGCTGGGTTCTCCGGTTTCACTCCGATGGCGGACGGCGGACGGCACTCCCGCTTGCTGGCCGGGATGCGGGGCCGGCGTTTATGACTGGCTCGAACGGGTGCTTTGTGAGGGGCTCCAGTCACCGGCCCCCCGGCGTCTGTCCGAAGTCTAGGCTGTTCGAGCCAGAGAAAGGGAAACAGCTTCAACTGTAGGTACCACGTGAGGAATCTGTTGTACACTCCTGGCCTCTTGCTAATTACTTCTAGGCAGATTGGTCTTGGGAGCTGAAGGTGCTGCATCAAGCTCTGGAACCTAGAGCAATCTGGAAACCCAAACCTTTCGTCCGATGGCTTCGATACCACATACTTCCAAATCCGGTCTGCACCATGGCCAAATTTTGCTCCGAGATGGCAAACATGTCTCTCTAGCACCTAGACGGTGCGCGCATTGTGTCTTCAAGTCAGAACCACCGAATTCGTTTCCAGGATGCCGCTTGCAGGACGCTTGTCACTGTTCGTTTCGCCTATAGAACCACCTTTTTTCGAACCAGAGGCCATTGTTTTATCCCGAAGGATAGCGAGATTCCAGTCATAAACTTCCAAGAGGGTACAGTTATTACCAAGCTACGCATCATGGGTCCTGTTGTGCCAGCTATCTATACCCAAAGGAGTGAACGAACGAGGTTGACTAGAGACGACCAGTGCCACTGCCGCTGGCGGCATACAACAGCGGTCATTGTGACGGACAAACCCGTGCTGGGTACCCCAGCTAGATGCTCTTGACGAGGAAAATACGAAGACCAGCGCTTAGAAGCCGGTCGACCTCGGAATGCAGAAGTGGAAGTGCTGATGTCGACCTCCGAAGCTTTGATGGGTAGGCAGATCACGTTTTCACGAAACGTCGTCTAGCCTCTTCCATGACCATGGCTCTTCGTGTCTATCCTCCTGCGCTCCATCACCATGATTGGAAAATCGCTTCCTTGGCGCCCTCATTTCACGGACGAGAGCTTTAGCGACGATGAAGTCGGCGATAAAAGGTACTTGTGGTCCCCGACTCCCTCGCCTCGGGGATTTCGAAGTCGAACCTGTGGTCTCGTGTCGATCAAATTACCGTCATGGCCGTTTTTCACGCTACGTTTGGGTTTTGTTGCCATGCTCTTGGCAAACCTCGCTCTACTAGAGTCACTCCTCTGGTATCTTAGTCGAACCATTCGTGACTGTGATCGGTCATAGAGCGCAAGCCGAAATCCACATCCTGGTCATTGTGGAGCGGGCCGTCGTCTTTCCATGGGATGGTGAGACATGTCTCGGAGTTCGTGTCTTTCTGGCTTCTTTGTCGCCATTCCATGCATTGGTAACAACGGTTCGAAGCCATGTGAAGCCCAAGAACGCGCCGATCGATGTTGAGGCTCAGTTACCTTACCTGACTGGGAAACGATATACGTCTGTCCGGTTGGCCTTGGCATCAAGAATACGAGGGAAGGAATATCAAATGGGCTTTGATATTCGATCATGTCGAACATTTTCTCCTGACACGGCCTAGCCCCGAAGACACGGCATCTTCGGTGGTTCGGACAGCGGAGCGGATCCGGGTGTTGCGGTGTGGGGTTCCTGGCTCCAGACGGGCCGCATTGCCCACAAATTTTGTGATATCTCCACACCAACCCCCAAGATGTCCCACAACATTGAAAAGAGCTTCAGACAAGCCCGTTTTTCAACAACACAAGGTCCGCTGGCTCAATGGCAGAGCGTCTGACTACGAATCAGGAGGTTCCAGGTTCGACCCCTGGGTGGATCGATTTAACTTTTGCTTTTGCTTTCCTATGCCCTATTCAAAGTGATGGAGATGGTGATTTTGTCTCCTCGCAGTCATTCGTTTTTGTGTTTGGAATCTCAACGATTCTCTTTTCCTCATCTTTCCCCGGTCCTTGACTAATCTGTCACTAGTTCCTTTTTGGGAGGTGTCAGAAACTAGGTTCGGCAGATGGTGCCTGAGCAAGGCACCTTGATGGACACCGGTCTTTGAGCCCCTGTTTTCTTAGATCCCGAAATCTCACTTCGAAATCTCCAGAGATCTAGCGTAGTGCGCTCTCCACACCGCACCTCGTCGAAGTGCATGACTTGGCCTAGTGGTTGTTTATCAGTTCATTTCCATCAATAACATCTCCCAGACGCCCTCGTTATGTATTCGTCCCCCAGTCTTTTCTCCCTATACACCTGACAACCAGTTGTCCATACGACCCGTGGCCGGAGGACATTGGAACGGGCATGTCCGGTACCGACAGTCTGGTTCGGAGGAGTCGCGGATGCGTAGGCTTGTCATCCGGGCGCGCCGTCAGACGTAAGATAGAGAAGCTTGGCGGGTTGAAAGGCACAAGAGCGTGCAATAATGTCAACCAACAGCACTCCGTCGTCCCCACCACCATACCGTACCTTTTCTCGTCACACAGTCGCTGGTTATTTGCGGGAAGCGCCGTTCTCACCAGCAATTCATCGTAAGAACGCCAGACCGCCTTGTCCCGGTTGTCAATGTTACGGATCATCGTCTCGTCTCACAAGGTCGTGACAATGTGCTAGTCACAAACGGTTAGCAATTTGCAACAGCGGTTGTAGGGGCGGAAGAACCAAGAAGCTCGAGCCGGATCCAAAGTTGACTGAAGCCAAACAGCTCAGCAATACCATCTGTTCCTACCCTCATGCCTCCATTTTTCCAGGTTACAGGCTAAAGATCTGCTCTTCCATACTTGTTTTCCTTCTCTTTTCTTTTTCAGCCCCGTAAGGACGAAGCAAGCACATCAACCAAATCCTGGGGCAAGGCACAATCCAAGTCCAAGCTCTCGACGCCTTGCTTACCTTGACCTAACGAATCGGATCCCAGTCGGGTTATGACATGGCTCGCCTCACCTTCTTCCCTGGTTTACTCTGCTTATTTCAGACTGGATGGTCAAATCCGTCTTCACAACCACCAGGTACATATGTCTCCATGGCCAAGCGACAGTGCTAGAGTGGGTATGGATCGCTAGTTGGCGGCTACCTCTCGACTACCACTATGGAGATGGCCAAGATGGAGACAGATCTGGGATGGACTTTGTTAGCGGTGATGACTACGTAGTCGATGGTATATTCTACGAATGTCTTGTACAGGGGCCAAGTACCTTGATCCCCGTTAACATCAAGAGGTCCGGACACTTTCAGTATTGGTCTACGCGAGAAATTGCGAATCCAGCACACCACGCCAAATTGAGAATGACAGTCCATGCCATACACACACACCCCAAGGCCTCGGTCGCCAGACATGATGAGTTCAGGACACAAGTCAAGCCAAGTATGGCAAGCTCTTCGCCGCAACTTATGTCGCTCGATCATTTCTTGTGGACTCTCCACAGGCGGGCTGTATTCCGTCGCATTCCTATTCGCTTCCTCGCATATTCCTGCTCATTTACGCACGGTGAGCTCTTACATGCAGTGGTTTATTTGCGCGGCAAGAGTTTGGTGTCAATACGAGCTCACTGCTGGTTCTGGAAGTGAACTCTTACCCCATCCGAATCAAGCATAGGGCAATAGTGAGCCACTCTGTTGCAATCCTTGAACAGAGATGATGTGTCCTGGAGAATCATAGCCCTGATGATATAAATGTATCGAGGTCATGGGCTAGGCCCCGAGGCTTGGAATTTCAGCCTCGCGGTGCATTGCCGCACCAAAAGCACGGCGATAGTCGCGCAGGGTCTGTGTTCGGGAAAGGCATGCCTCAGCTGGAAATCTGGATCCTTCGGGTATGTGATCAGGACTTGCCCTGATTCGACGTTTGTCCAAAACGGAGGAAGCAATAGACACGCACGCCTCGTGGCGTTGTGGAAGTGTCCAGTATGAAGGGCCGATAGTCGCTGCAAGCCCCCAAAAGCTGGGCCGAAGACAACATTTCTGACTTCGGATCTTGGAACCAGACAACAAGATTGCAGGTCTAACTAACTTGTCACAACCGAACAACTACCTGGTAGGTTCAACTATTCTGGTGGCAGATTCTAGCCAGACGCATGAAGTTTTGCTTGTTCCGTCTCGAACCCGAATTTCAAGGTTGTGCTCAGCTCAACACGGGTAACTGCAGCGGCGACTTCAAGGTATTTGAGTGTGGTAAAGACGAGTGTTGGGGCCTCTTTGTTACTAAGGCTCTATCTTGGTAATGGATTGCACTTAAACCAGTCAGCCGCCCGTCGCAGTTTCTCCTTCATCTCGAAATATATCATCTGCTAGCGCTCGCTCCCGTCAGAATACGTATGACAAACAAGTGGTCTTGGTGATCCATTGACTCTGTCATCTTACTGACACTGCACGAACAGATCCACGTGTTCCATCTAGCGCTGGGAAGTTTAGTGTTATCCTGCACGGCAACATTGATGGCGACCTGGAACCATTCAAGAACTTCTGGGGGTGAGCGATGGGACACTTTGAATCTGTTGCCACAATGTGACATAGTTGCTGTGTCCGAACCTACAACTACAACGACCCGTCCCTCTACTTGTTCGCCCTCAGGCCAGAAGGAGCGTTTTCTTGAGCCGTTTGAGGTACTGTCGGTCCCCAATTTCGATCGAAATGACCCGAATGATGACGGGGCAAACTCGAGGCTCGTAGGTGTAACTATTTTACCACCCCTCAACAAACCTTGTGCTCACTTTTTTCCAGGTCTTTACCAATGGACTAACTGTTGTCACAAATTACCTTTTGGCGCACTATCCCGCGCATTATACGGGATTTTGGCTGGAAGTGGGACGTAGCAGCGATGGTCTTGAGTTGTGGCTCCCTCATCTCCACCATCACCATGCTGGTGGTTTACCAAGGGTCCGACCCTGACTTCTGGACGTTCCCTCTGGCTTTGAGCACCATTGTCTCAATTTTATCACAAGTCTCTCGTGCTTCGATTGCTTTTGCCCTCACCTCGGCGATGGGCCAAGCAAAGTGGAACTCCTTTTTGCCAATATCATCACAGGCTCACCACTTTTGATAAGTTTGATGCTGCTTCTCGAGGTCCATTTGGGAGTGTCAAGCTCCTGGCACATATTGCTTCCAGGTATGAACTCGGTTTGCCTGCGTACAGGTCTCTCTATTTCGTGCCTTCCTTGCACGGGGCCCGTTAAAGCAGGATTCAGGGTTAACAATGGCTCATCATTAGGCAACTCAGTTGCTGGATTGCACTGGGCATCATCCCCACTATAGCTCTGCTTGCTTATGACCCTTTCTTACAAGCGGCCATTACTCTCCCAATAGTTGAAGATTATGGCCCGTTTTTCCCAGACGACTTGCTATACCACATACTGCCCTTTACAAGAGACTTCACAATTGGTAATGATCTGGTTTCAAAAAGCCCTTTAAACCCTACTAATAGGTCTGCCGGGATGAACGACCTGAAACTTTCCACCTAGCAAACCTTAGCGCCCCCAAATGGTTTGAGCACCGCGTTCTACGAAGATTATCGGGCATATCCATCGGACGGATACGCACCTACGCCTACCTTGCTGGAACGCTGTATGAAAAGCAACTGCACTTTCGCCACATTCGATTCCCTCGCCGTATGCAGCGTCTGTCACGATATTTCGAAGCATGCTGTCAAAGTACGTACGCCCTCTGCCTCCCGGCTGCAGTCAGTAAACCACTTCCTCTCTTCCCAGTGCGCAAATCCGAATGACTGTTTCACCTGGGGCCTGGACGTGGACGATGGCCTTCAGATGGAATCGCTGTTATATCTAACAAATCGGCGAGACTATTATGATCGAGATGACGAGTACGTCAAGGGCTAGTTTAGTAGCGGGAAAACAAAAGGAAATTGAAAAGGAACAATAAATTTTCAAAATACCTCCACGGCATTCATAGTATTTCAGCTCCTCAAAATGGCTACAAAGTCCAGGGAACATGGGACGCCATTTGAGGAGGCTTTACCGGAGGCTCGAGAGTGCGGTTTTTCTTTTTCGTCAAGCGGTTTAACTCTAAAGTTCGAAACAACGTTCTGAACGAAACTGTCTTACAGTCAGCCACATGGAGTCGGGATGAATGGTTACCGGGATCATTGGATATCATCCTGGAGCCTCGTTCAGGGCTCGAAAACCTTGAAGGTTCCGAGCAATGGACACACTGGAACTTTTTACACAATCACAAACTTTACAGCCCGTGGACCTTGTCAAACTATGACAATACCTCCGACGCACTGCGTGATGAAGACCGGCTGACATACTGGGGCCCAGACCGTCGGGAGCTCAAATTGCCGTTGCCAGCTGGTTGGAAACCGCTCGACTCCAACAAGGATGTCACCTTCACCATTAGCTTTCGAACCATCATTGCTACAACATCCTGGTTGTTGAAGAAGTTCCGACAGTCGGACCACGAGGGCGGTTTCTACGTGTTTGGGTCGCATCTTGCCTCGATGGACCTAAGACCGGAATGCGCCTCTTTGTGGGCACTACCAGTATGGAGCGGTGACGCACTCCCTGATTGCTTCAATAACATAGCAAAAAGGCTATCCGTGTGGATTCGAGAAGCTCGTCAGGAGCACAAGCAGTTCGCTAACGGCACCGACATATTTTCAGGGCCCATCATCCACACTCGCAGTTTGTTTCTTATTTTGCCAGCCGGAACCCTCTTAGCAAATTGTTTATTCGCCATCTGGATAATCCGGAAGACCAACAGGTTGGGACTTCGGGCTTGAAAGGAAAATTCCCTGCCCACACTAATACACGGCCTCACTGCATCGACAAGGGCAAGACTATGCGAAGCCGATCGAGCGAACACTGCGGACAAAGTGGCGGGCAA